AACAGCCCACATAGTGAAGGCAGTCCTGAGCAAAAAGAACAAAGCTGAAGGCATCACATACCTGCCTTCAAATTATGCTCCAAGGTTACAGTAACCAGAACAGCATGGTACTGGTAAAAGAACTGACACAATGACCAATGGAACAGGATTCAGAGCCCAGAAATAATGCTACACACCTACAACCATCTGATATGTGACAAAAACAAACCATGGAGAAAGGACTCTTATTCAACAAATGTGTGTGGGATAACTGGCTAGCCATATGCAGAATATTGAAACTGGACTTCTTCCTTACACCATATACAAAAATCAACTCAAAATGGGTTAAAGACTTAAATGTAAAACCTAAAACTATAAAATCTCTGAAGATAATCTAGGAAATACCATCCTGGACATAGGAACTAGCAAATATTTCCCAATGACAACACCAAAAGCAACTGCAACAAAAACAAAAATCGACAAATGGGACCCATTTAAACTTAAGATCTTCTGCACAGCAAGAAAACTGCCAAGACAATAAGCAGACAACCTACAGAATGGGAGAAAATACTTGCAAAATATACATTCAATAAAAGTCTAATATCCAGAATCTAAAGAATTTTGTTTTACATGCAAAAAACAAATAACTCCATTAAAAAGTAGGCAAAGGATATGAACACTTTTCAAAAGAAGATATATATGTTGCCAACAAACATATGAAAAAGTGCTTAACATCACTAATCATTAGATAAATGCCAATCAAAACCACAATAAAATACCATCACACAGCAGTCAGAATGGCCACTGTTAAAAAGTCAAAAAATAACAGATGCTGGCAAGGCTACAGAGGAAAGTAAATAGTTGGTGGGGATGTCAATTAGTTCAGCCATTGTGGAAAGCAATTTGAAGCTTTCTCAAAGAACTTGAAACAGAATTTCCATTTGACCCAGCAATCCTATTATTGGGTATGTACCCAAAGGAATATAAATTCTTCTACCATAAAGACACATGCACACATATGTTCATTGCAGCACTACTCACAATAGCAAAGACATAACATCGACCTAAATGTCCATCAGTGGTAGACTGGATTTTTAAAAATGCGCTACATATATACAATGAAATACAATGAAGCCATAAAAATGAATGAGATCATATCCTTTGCAGAAACATTGATGGAGCTGGACATCCATTATCCTAAGCAAACTAACACTGCAACAAAAAACCAAATACTGCATTTTCTCACTTTTAAGTGGGAGCTAAACTTTGAGTACACATGGACACAAATAAAAAAACAACAGATACTGGGGCCAACTTGTGGGTGGAGGGTGGAGGAGGATGAGGATCCAAAAATTACTTAACAGGTACTATGCTTATTAGTGATGGGTGACAAAGTAATCTCTACGCCAACCCCTACAACATGCAATTTACCTATATAACAAACCTGCACATGTATTCCTGAACCAAAAACAAAAGTTAAAAAAAAGATAGCCTGAGAAAAAATGATTACAACATATATGATACACAAGGGCTAATATCCATAAAGCAAGAAAAGCACCAAAAACACCATTTTGATTATTAATGGAATTGAACAGCTTTTGTTTTTTTTCTAATCAAACTGTTTAATCAGCTGTTTGTATTACAGAGCAGAATGTGAAATTTAAGTGCGTTTTTAAAAAGTTTTACTTTACGTTCCCAGGATACAAGAGCAGAACGTGTAGGTTTGTTACATAAGTATACTTGTGCCATGGTGGTTTGCTGCACCTATCAACCCGTCATCTAGGTTTTAAGCCCCACATGCATTAGCTTTTTGTCCTAATGCTCTCCCTCCCCTCACCCCCAAGCCCCTCCTGGTGCTAGTGTGTGTTGTTCCCCTTCCTGTGTCCATGTGTTCTCATTGTTGAACAGCTTTTCTATGTGAACTGAACATTTCTAACTTTTCTGTGAATCACCTATTTATATTTCCTTTGCACATTTTCCGTGGGGCTGGATGTTTTTCTTGTTGATTTACAAGAATTCTTTATGTTTGGGATATCACCTTACTGTGTTATATGATTTTTTCATTATTTTTTAAACTTGTTTCAAAATCTAAATTAATTGTTTCAAAACCAGCTGGTATACAAGAAAGGCTGTGAAGCATAAAGTTGAATATTTAGGAGAGTTGTACATTATAGTGTGATTTTATGATGCATTTCACTTATTTTTATAGTCTTAGCTACTATTTAGGTTATTACCACCTTTTATTAGCCTTCTGTATAAAGAAAAACAAACTCCAACCTATAAATATATACTTTTGGTGGATATTTTTAAAAATTGATGTTTAAGATGTTATTTTGATACTGTAATACAAAATAAAGAAATGAGAAATACTTGTCAACTATTTATCATTAATTTCTTATTTATTTATTTATTTGTATTTCCAAAATCCAAGACCAACAGCAGTAGATAATTAGATGTTCTTTTAGTTTTATTCTTCATGGCTTCTCAAATAGTAAGTTAATTTAACTGACAATTATTTTTAAAAGTTTAAAAGTTGAAAACATCACCTAGGGCCGCAACAAGTCATCAATATGTGATTCACCAGTTTTCTTTCAGATTGTTTTCTTAGATTGAGAAATTTAACCAATTTTGAAATCGTTGAGAAACAAGCAGAGCCAGCAAAATTGGCAAAGCCTGGATTATGGGAGGATTAAATAAAATGATGTATATAGATCAGTTATGGAATGCATGAAGCATACTGAAAATTCAAAAATGTTACATGATAAAGTGAAAATAATTCGTCAGTTATTCACAGTTATCTTGTGAGGTGTAGCTATTACTGCTTCCCTGTTCTACAGGAGAGAACATGGAGGCTTAAAAAAACTAAGCAATTTTTTTAATATCCCACAGCTAATAAGTTGCAGAACCTGTGTTCATAACTACCGTCATATTTCCTCTCCAATGCTGCACTGAAATGGAAGTATAAAATTTTGAAATAAAAACCAAAACCTGAAAAGGGGGATTAAATATTTACCAGTGAGCAGTAGGTGAGAAAGATTAGGAAATAATTCCATAGTGCGTGAACAACAAACTAATTATTTCAATCCATTTAATTTCCTCCACAGATTCTACTTTTATATGGCATAATGTAGGTTTTCATGAATATCCTATAATTCCACCCAATAAATTAACAGATTATAGTTTGGACTTTTTTTTTTTTTGAGCCTGGGCTTTTGTTGCCCAAGCTGGAATGCAATGGTGTGATCTCGGCTCACCACAACCTCCGTCTCCCGGGTTCAAGAAGTTCTCCTGCCTCAACATCCCCAGTAGCTGGGATTACAGGCATACACCACCATGCCCAGCTAATTTTGTATTTTTAGTAGAGATGGAGTTTCTCTATGCTGGTTAGGCTGGTCTTGAACTCCTGACCTCAGGTGATACACCCACCTCAGCCTCCCAAAGGGCTGGGCTTTTTTTGTAAAGTTGATCATACTCTAAAACAGCCAGAATCACAGCCACTGTCCACATGTGGTTATGAACGTTTCAAAGCAATTAATTAAAGTAAATGTTTACCTCCTCAGTCCCACTAGCCATATTTTTAGCATTCAATAGCTCTGTGTGACACCACTCTGGACACTGGAGTTTACAACTTTCCTAGCATTGCAGCAAGGTCTGATAGAAATTGCTAGTGTAGGAGTATATATTTTATTCATCTAATTTATGAAACAACAGACCCAGTTTCATACTCCGTTGTTCTAAAACGTAGATGCAGACATAGCACTTGCTGTGTTAAATCCTTAGTCAGCGAGTGTAATGGTTTATAGAAGTGACAGATTCTATAGTCACAGTGTCTTGAAGCCTTTTTTTTAAATAATAATAAAAAAAGACTTTATTTTTTAAAGCAGTTTTAGGTTCACAGAAAAATTGAGCAGAAGGTACATGCATAGCCTCTCCCATTATTAACATGCCCACCAGAGTGGTGGGCGACAGCTTAGTTGTTTCCAACTTGGGCAATTATGAATAAAGCTGCAATGAATATTTGCATGCAGGTTTTTTCCACACCTTTGGGTAAATGCCAAGGGTCATGATTGCTGAATCATACTTTTAGTTTTATAAGAAACTGCCAGACTGTCTTCCAAAGTTACTGTGCAATATTGCATTCCCAGCAGCAATGAATGAGAGTTCCTGTTGCTCCACATTTTCGCCAGCATTTAGTGTTGTCAGTGTGTTTTCACTTTCACCTAGCTCAAAATGTTTTTAGTGTCTTTTGAGATTTCTGTTTTGATGCATGTGTTATTTAAAAGTGTACTGTTTAATCTCCAAGTACCTTTGAATTGTTCAGCCATCTTTCTCTTAATGATTTCTAGATTAATTCCATTGCACTCTGAAAGCAGACATCAAAATGATGTTTATTATTTTAAATATGCTAAGATGTGTTTTATGGCCCAGAATATGGTCTATTTTGGTGAATGTTGCATGTAAGCTTGGGAAGAATGTGTAATCTGCTCTTGTTGGATAAAGTAGTTGATGCCAATTATATCCATCTATTTGTTGACTGTTGTTGAGTTCAACTATGTTTTTACACATTTTCTGCTTTCTGGATCTATCCACTACCGATAGAGGGATGTTGAAGTCTCCAATTATAATAGTGGATTTTTCTATTTCTCCTTTCAGTTCCATTTGTTTTTGCCTTATGTATCTTGATGCTCCTCTATTTGGTGCTTACATGTTAAGGATTGTTATGTCGTCTTGGAGATTTCTCAGTGCCTTTTATTATCTCACTGATGCATTGCCACTCTCTTGAAAGATCCAGCAGTTGATGAAAATTATTTGATATGCAGATCACTGTATTACTTAGTTTATAAGCCAAGATTGGGAATAGCTGAAAGGAATTTGGACTTTAGGTTAATTTCTCACACTTGTTTGGAATTTATATATAGTAAATAATAAAATTGATTTTCTGAGGTGTCACAATGAAGAAGTAAGTTGTTGGTGTTAATTATCTCGTTAGCTGTGATATTATGTTGCTCAGTTTTTCCTAGTGTTTTACAGATTCCTGTGGCAAATTCTACCAAGCAAAGCTAAAACAACTTGATTTCCTGAATGATACAGAGAAGTCCAGAACACACATAAATAACTGGATTGCTGAAAAAACTGAAGGTGAAAACATATTGGTATTTTATTTCAATAATATTTCAAACAGTCTTACAGTCAGTTTCTTCATAAAACTGTCACATATGACAAGGAGTGCTTTTTTTCTCTAAATAACTGTGCAAACTTTAAAAACTTGCTTCTGAAATATTGCCAGAGTGTAGACCTTTTCTGTAGCTTTATCCCTGCTCTTATCATCTATCTGTGATATCTCTCAATATGCAGTACATCTCTTCCAGAAGAACCTACACATTTTTGTTGTTAATATTAGATAGGGTTCTATTCACACATAGCATTAACATTTGAATTTAAAGGCCTCCCTCTCTGGTATTGCCTATGCGCTGTGGTTTATCTATGTAATGTGGCAGGATGCTTGGCCATGTCTTTTGTTTTCTTTTCTTTTCTTTCTTTTCTCTTCCTTCCTTCCTTCCTTCCTTCCTTCCTTCCTTCCTTCCTTCCTTCCTTCCTTCCTTCCTTCCTTCTTTCTTTCTTTCTTTCTTTCTTTCTTTCTTTCTTTCTTTCTTTCTTTCTTTCTTTCTTTCTTTCTTTCTTTCTTTTTTTGAGACAGAGTCTTGCTCTGTTGCCCAGGCTAGAGTAAAGTGGCACGATCTCAGCTCACTGCAACCTCTACCTCTTGAGTTCAAGCAGTTCTCCTGTCTTAGCCTCCAAAATAGCTAGGATAGCTGGGACTACAGGCACCTGCCACCATGCCCAGCTAATTTTTGTATTTTTAGTAGAGGCAGGGTTTCACCATGTTGGCCAGGCTGGTCTTGAACTCCTGACCTCAAACGATCCACCCATCTCGGCCTCCCAAAGTGCTGGGATTGCAGGCGTGAGCCACAACATCCAGCCAGCCATGCCCTTTTTAGGCTTTATTTCTTAAACTGTTCTTACGCTTGCTACAACTGCTCACGTTTTTGTCAGTCTTTTATGTTTATTTCTTTAAACCACAGGCACCAATCATTCCTTGCTATATATTATCAGGTCATCCTCTTCCCATTAATATCTACCTGTTTGTTTTATGCTTTCTATTCAAATAGTGATGTTTTTATTACAAGAGCTCTATTTCGAGTTTTTGTTGCAGTGTTGTTACTATGGTCATTGTGAGGATAAGATCCCTTTACATGGTTATATTTTAGGACACCGTGAACTACCTTCATGCATACTTGCTTTCTCAAACAGATGACATAATCTGAATATCCCTCCTGATGAAATCATCAGGGAATACTTTTAGCTAAATGGTTCTTTAATTCTTCTTAACAGGTAAAATTACAGAGATGCTCTCTCCAGATTCAGTTGATTCCTTGACTAAGCTGATTCTCGTGAATGCCATCTACTTCAAAGGAAACTGGGAAAGTCAGTTTGTGAAAGAGATGACCAGGGAAATGCCTTTTAAAATTAGCAAGGTGAATATTTTTCAATTTCAATGGTGATTCTTGGGAACAGTCTCCGTCTTCACGTTGGCTTTAAAACTTGATTCTTGGTAGCTTTGACATGACCCTTTGGTAGTCCAGCAGCAGGACTCCCCTCCAAATCTAGGGGCCTTTCTCCTATCCTTCATCTCCTTTTTGTGTCTCATCAACAGTGGCTACATACTCCCAGCCTTCTGGTCCAGCTCCCTATCTCATCTGTATTCACATCTATACCACAAATCTGAGTCTATAGCCCTTGGCTTCCCAAAACTTGTGAGATAAAGTTCAAATGAGTGGTATGATGTGTGAGGCTCTTGGATCTCGCATATTTCTCTATCTTCATTTCTCAACAGTACCTATATGCGCCTTTCTTTCTTTCATTGTTCCTTCTGGAAAGCCTTTCTGACAGTGCACCTCCCTAAGCTGTCTCTTCCTCTAAGCCGTCACAGCGATCCCTCCCGCTCCATGGTGGCATTGCAGTGGTTGAATCAGGTGTCCCGTGTCCCACTTTGTTTGTTGCCATTTGAGTGCAGAGACTGCTACCTTACCAGTACCTTGTGCTCAACAAGTACTGAACCAATGAATTATGTTCAGTCTTCTGTTGATAATAAAGACGAATAAGCACAAATTTTAACCTAAAAACTAGGTGAGCAAAAACACACAGAATAGACATAGAGTTTAGCTACCTCCAACTTGGAATACGTTATTTGCAAAAGGCCCTTTATCTTTCTCTAAATCTGGTTTATTCTTTCTTTTGTTTAACTCTAGAGATTTCAGGATATATTCAAAAGTAGAATAGATTAAGTTAATTATTAATCACTAGGTAAATCTTCTGTGCCCACCTGAGCCTGATTGAGTCTTTGGTTTCTCAAGGAATATATGTTCTTTCTGGCTTTGTTTTAAAATGAACTGTTCCATTTTCCCCGGAAAACTATTTCTGTCCTTAAAAATTTTTGTTTTTTTTTTTTTTTTGGTGAGACAGAGTCTCGCTCTGTCGCCCAGGCTGGAGTACAGTGGTGTGAACTCAGCTCACTGCAAGCTCTGCCTCCCGGGTTCGTGCCATTCTCCTGCCTCAGCCTCCCAAGTAGCTAGGACTACAGGCGCCTGCCACCACCCCCAGCTAATTTTGTTTTTGTATTTTTTAGTAGAGATGGGGTTTCACCATGTTAGCCAGGATGGTCTCGATCTCCTGACCTTGAGATCCGCCGGCCTCGGCCTCCCAAAGTGCTGGGATTACAGGCGTGAGCCACCGCACCTGGCCTCTGTCCTTAAATTTTTTAAAACAAAATTTGTTTTGTTTTAAAATTTGTGTTAGGATTTCGTTAAACTGCAATTGACAGAAAACTCAACGTGCAAGGTTTAAACTCTTGATATTCTTCCTCCACAATAGGAATTCTGGAGGTGGGCAGAGGCCAAGGCTGATGTGGGATGTAAGTGAAAGTTTCAGGGAATCACTCTCTCTTCTGCTCTGCCTTCATTACTTCCATGACTTACTTCCTTATGGTCACAAGCTGGTTCAGACATTAGATACACAATCCAGGCAAGAGAAAGCAGCAAGGACAGAGGAAGAAGAGTAAATCTTGTCTTTCTAAGGTTCTGCCATTTTTCTCATGAAGAAAAACTTTTTTTCTTTATCTCACAGGCCAGAATTATTTTATGCTATAAGGAGATGAAGAATTCTGTTTTGCTTTCTGGTCTTTACACACACATACACACACACACACACGCAAAAAAAAAAAAAAAAGTTGCAATGAATGTTAAGTGTACCAACCTATGTACTTTCTCAAAGGGTGAAGATTTTGAGATGATATACATTTTTATTTTAATTCTTTAATTACAAAATAAAATAAAACTTACCTATACAATTGCAAATTTAGTGAATCATTGAGTTACCACAAATGACCAAGATTGGATCCTTACATATCACAAGACTAGAGGTATTGGGATCTGAAAGTGGGGAGAGGAATTTTCCTAGATCAGTGGTTGGCAAACTATGCCCAATGGCCAGGTCTAGTCCATCACTTATTTTTATAAATAAAGTTTTATTGAAATACAGCTTTGTTCATATGCTAAAATACTGTCTATAGGTGCTTTCATTTTACAACAGCAGAGTTGAGTATCATTGAGTGTCCCTAACTTGAAAATCCAAAATCTGAAGTGCTCCAAACATCTGAAACTTTTTGACCACCAACATGATGCTCAAAGAAAATGGCCACTGAAGCATTGTGGATTATAGATTTTTTTTTTTATACTTTAAGTTCTAGGGTACATGTGCACAATGTGCAGATTTGTTACATATGTATACATGTGTCATGTTGGTGTGCTGCACCCTTTAACTCGTCATTTACATTAGGTATATCTCCTAATGCTATCCCTCCTAATGCTGTCCCTCCCCCCTGATTTTAACATTAAAGATGCTCGGGACAGGCTCGGTGGTTCACACCTGTAATTCCAGCACTTTGGGAGGCAGAGGCAGGTGGATCATGAAGTCAGGAGATCGAGACCATCCTGGCTAACATGGTGAAACCCCATCTCTACTAAAATACAAAAAATTAGCTGGGCGTGGTGGGGCACACCTGTAGTCTCAGCTACTTGGGAGGCTGAGACAGGGGAATCGCTTGAACCTGGGAGGTGGAGGTTGCAGTGAGCCGAGATCGCACCACCGCACTCCAGCCTGGGTGACAGAGCGAGACTCTGTCACACACACACAAGAAAGATTAAGGATGCCCAACCAGTAGGTATAATACAAATATTTCAAAATCTGAAAAAAATCCAAAATCTGAAACGCTTCTGGCCCCATACATTTCAGATAAGGGATACTCACTCAGCAATTGAGCAGAATTATTGTGTAGAATACAATCATGGTCCTCGAATCATTCTTACTGTTTGAGGATGCATTAGCAACAGATGTGGTGTTCTTCTAGTAAGTTGTGTTAATTTTTCTTTTTTTTTTTTCAGTATTTTTGTTGTTAAGTTTGTTTCTTCATTTATTTAACAAACAGTGATTGAGTGCTCACTATATGTCATGTATTGTGCTAGGTACTATTCCAGCCATGTTCAAAATCTGCAAAGTGTCCCTCTCCTCATGGAGCTTACATGTTCCTCGGGGAGAAAGACAGTAAACATATATTAAAAAGCAGTGCTATGGAGACAGGTACAAAGAAAAGGTGATAGAAAGTTGAGGTGGGGCAGCACAACTTCCGGTAGGGGTCTCAAGGAATCCCTCACTGAAGGAGGTGGTATTTGAGACAAGGACAGAAGGAGGTGAGGCCGTATGTGTTACAGGTTCTGGGGGAATGAGTTCAGTGGGCAGAGTTGAGATAGTTTGTCCATGGATCCGTGAAGCAACCACTCTGAGTGTAGCAGACAAGCAAAGGGAGTGCAGTAAGAGGTGAGATCAGAGAGGCAGTGGAGGACAAGCTCCTGACATGATTTGCCAGTTTTTTCAAAGACTTCAGCTTTCACTCTGAGTCAGGAGGGTTTTCAGTTGAGGAGTGACGTGACTTATGTCTTAACAGGGTCTCTCGGGCTCCTGTGTTGAGAATAATCACAGGGAGGATAAGGGCAGAAATAAGGCAATCACTTACGAGTTTATTGCACCGTCCAGGACTAGGATGATAGCAGCGGAGGTAGGATGCACAGGTTAGATTTTGGTTACATTGTAAAAATGGAGCTGATATAATTTGCCAAGGGTCAGATATGTGTTGTGAGAGAAAGATGGGAGTCAACATTCATTCCAGGGTATCCGACAACTGGAAAGATGGTGTCCCCCTCAACTGAGATGGGACAGAAAACAGATGGAGCAGATTGGGAAGGGGTTGTGAGGAGCCCAGTGTTACAAGTTAGACTGGAGGTTGGTTTTATATGTTCAGATGCTGATGTTGAGTAGGGCAGTGAAATTTATGAATTTGGACTACTGAGGTGAGCTCCAGGCCAGAGGTGCAGATTTGGGTTTTATATTTAAATTCATAAGACTAAATGAAATGATAGGGGTGAAAAGAAATCGTTTTCCTCTATATTCGCAAGTTCTTTGGCTGGGACCTTGTAGAGTGACAAAAGAGAATTAACAAGAGAAAAACGAACAGAAATTTATTAACTTGTGCATCACACACGTACATGGGAAAACTCAGTGATAAGTAATTTGAAGAAGTCATTAGAATTTGTGGTGTTTTTACCCAACTTCATAAGAGAAAGGGAGGGGAACAAAGGGCACTTGGGAAAAACAAATGCCTTTTGTGGAAAGATAAGTGGATCCTTTTGGAGCAGAATTGATGGCAGAGGTAATAGGTTTGTGACAATGTCTGGCTGGGTGTGTGCAGACTTTTCATCTCTAAGAAAATTAGAATTGTTACCAAGGAAGAGAATAATGAAAATTGAGTTTTTTCGGGGAGATTCTGCTTTTAGGCAGATAGGCTATTTCAGGAACTCTAATGCCTTCAGTTCAAAATATTCTTAAACCAAAGTGGTATATTTCAGAGTGGCATATTGTGATCTCCTTCAAGATCACCAACAGAAAGCAAGGTAAGGATTGAGCCCTGGGTAGCCCAGTGTTTGGAGACTGAGGTAATGACCATGAACCAGTAAAGGAAGGGTCTAATATGGGGTTCTAGAGACCAAAGAAAGAAAGCATTTGTAGGGGCAGAAAGTGACCAACTCTGTTGATTATGCTCAATATTCAACTCTTGTGCTTCAACTTAATGTGTATCTGTTTCCTTTCTAGAACAAAGAAAAACCTGTGCAAATGATGTTTAAGGAATCCATCTTTAAAATGACCTATGTAAGGAAAATATCCAGCCAAATTCTAGTGCTTCCCTATGTTGGAAAGGAACTGAATATGATCATTTTGCTTCCCAATGAAAACACTGATTTGAAAATGGTAATGAGTGTTCAAAGTATGCATTTTATCATAGTAAAGGCTCTCACAAGCCTTTTAGGAAAAAAGCTTTGAAAATTTGCTTTTACCAGTGTTTCCCTGACATAGTTGGCCACATGCTCTTTTCTGTTTTCATGATTACATCCAGTGGGGTGGTGTTCTAAGTGTTGAACACAATTCAGAAAATACTCTTATCCTAGAATGGGCTCGGGTTGGGGGTCAACTCTGAACTCTGAACCAGGTCAGAGTTCAATGTCCTGCTTTACAATTTAGAAATCTGTACTCTTTCAGGCTGTTTATTCCTATGGAAAATGGTGGCAGTACCTCCCTATGAGGGATGTCGTAGGATGAAAGACATAGTATATATAATGCATTTGTTTTGATGCACAGAGTATGCCATTGACTAATATTAGTAGCCTTCTCCACAACCTTGCCCCATAGTTGTAAGTTTGCTCTTTAGAAAGCAGTCATGTGGGGGAACAGCTGCTGTGACTCCATGCATCATTTGAGGATCTTGTTAGAAAGAAGATTCTGATTTAGTAAGACTGGAATGGAGAAGCCTGAGAATCTGCATTTCCACCAAGCTCCTCGGCGATGCTGAGGCTGCTAGCCCATGGACCACACTGAATAGCAAGGTTGTAGAGAGTCAATGAAAAATTTAGCTGGAGAGTAATTTGAGTTTCTAGAAAACTAATCCTTTTGCCTGCAATAGATGAGTTGGAAGTATCGATAATAGAGATAGGTCAGAAGGGATGTTGCTATGCCTTTCAAGCAAGACATGACAAGGGCCTGAATGAAGGCAGTGGCAGCAGAGATGAAGTAAGGGCCAGATGAGAGAGAGATTTGGAAATTTAAATTAACAGAAAATGATGATGGATTCATTGGAAGAAAGTTTGGATGGAAGAAAAGGCAAGTCTGAGATGTCCTACCTCAACATGCTGCTGTTAAGCTACAACACCAAACTTTGTAAGAACAGCTGTTCTTATACAAATGCAGCCAAACTGTAAGATTCTGCCTCAGGGAAATGGTTTGACAAAGTTTCTGGAAATGAAGAGTCAAAGCACAGAAATATAAAATCAATTCATATTTGAATGGTTTAGCATTACTGTGCTGTCATCCAGATGTGTGCAGTCCAATATGGTAGCCACTAGCCACCTATAACTGTTTACATTTATATTAGTTAAAATTAAATAACATTTTAAAAATCAAGGCTTCCTTTATACTACACACACTTCTAGTGCTCCATAGCCATATTTGGCTCATGGCTATCACATTTGGTAGCATGGCCATACATCGTTAACATCATAGCAGAAAACTGTATTGGGTAACACTGATCTAGACCCTAAAACATCCAACACTCTTCTTCTAGGTGGAGAAAAAGCTTTCATATGAGAGATTCATAGAATGGACAAACCCAGACAAGATGCATGAACAAGAGATGGAAGTTTTCCTTCCTAGATTTAAACTAGAGGAAACTTACAACATGGAAGACGTCCTTCGCAGTATGGGCATGGTCGATGCCTTTGAACAGGACAGGGCAGACTTCTCAGGAATGTCATCTAAGAAGGATCTGTACTTGTCCAAGGTCACGCACAAGTCCTTTGTGGAGGTCAATGAGGAAGGTACAGAAGCAGCAGCAGCTACCACCGAACAAATAGTTTTATGTTGTGCCAGTTACTCCCTCAGGTTCTGTGCAGACCATCCCTTCCTTTTCTTCATCCAGCACAGCAAAACCAATGGTATTCTCTTCTGTGGCCGGTTTTCGTCTCCATAAGGACATAGGTAGTCATTGGATATAGTCCTTCTCTTTTCTCTTAGTGACCTACATTTCCTCCACTCTTTATAGTGTGCCTGTGACCCAAAGTGACTTTATTATTGCAGCAGTCAAAAATGAGATGTTAGGAATCTAATTTTGAAATTCCTTGTTGAGAACCCTTGTGTGTGTGTTTGCATGTTAAATGTTTTCTAGAGTCTGAACTTGTCTCCAAGGATTTTGTGGTCACTTTGCAGGTGGTATCAATGACCACTTAGTCAAACCCCTCTGCTTGAAATGAGGTGTTACCCTCTCCCCACTGCCCACACCAATATATTCCATCTGTCAGAGCTATCTGCTGTCTCTTCACTTTGTATATGGTGCCACCCTCACAGAATGCTATCCTTCTGTTTTCCCAAACACAAGAAGATACATGTTATTTTCTGTCTTCTCTGTTCAATAGTATTGACAAATGGGCCCATTTTTAATGGAACAATAGAAAGTGAAATGAAGACTGGGGAGGAAGTATGGTGAGCAAGACTCAGCAGTTCTCAGAAGTGTCCCAGCACGGTGGCTCACACCTGTAACCAGCACTTTGGGAGGCCAAGATGGGCAGATGATCTGTGGCCAGGAGTTTGAGACCAGCCCGGCCAACATGGTGAAACCCTGTGTCCACTAAAAATACAAAAATTAGCTGGGCATGGTGGTGCACGCCTATAGTCCCAGCTACTTGGGAGGCTAAGGCAGGAGAATCACTTGAACCTGGCAGGTGGAGGTTGCAGTGAGCTGAGATCGTGCTGCTGTGCTCTAGCCTGGGTGAGAGAGTGAGACTCTGTCGAAAGAAAGAAAGAAAGAGAGAAAGAAAGAAAGAAAAAAGAAAGAGAAGGAAGGAAGGAAAGAAAGAGAAAGAAAGAAAGAAAAAAGAAAAGAAAGAGAAAGAAAGAAAGAGAAAGAAAAAAAGAAAAAAGAAAGAAAAAGAAAGAAAGAAAGAAAGAAAGAAAGAAAGAAAGAAAGAAAGAAAGAGAAGGGAAGGGAGGAGGAAGGGAGGGAAGGAAAAGGAAGGAAGGGAAGGAGGGAGGAGGGAGGGAGGAGGAAGGAAGGAGGAGGGAAAGGGGAAAAGGTTCCTGGGATGGATATCCTGTTCATGTTGGAGGGCTGGAGGGTGAGAGGCAGTTAACATGAGACCAGTGAAATTCAGTTAATTCCCGGGTGTTTCTGTTTTAATCATGGTTACTTCACATGGGGATCAGTAGGTCACAAGCCTATTCAATGTAACTATCACTTTCTGAGAAATTTACACTTGCTATCAGGAGGCAGAGATGATTATATGTTCTGTTCTGATCAATGTGATCTGAGACAGCTTCACGGGTAAACATCATGTCGTTCTATGTTGAAATATTTTTGAAAGGAAAAGAAAGAAAGAAAGAAAGAAAGAAAGAAAGAAAGAAAGAAAGAAAGAAAGAAGGAAGGAAGGAAAGAAAAATTTTCAGAAGCGACCTCTATTCCAGCTCTTCAGAAGTTGGCACAGAGGGTGAGAGAGCAGTTAACCGAGACCAGTGAGAATTCAGTCCAATTTCCCGGGTGTTTCTGTTTTAATCATAGTTTGCCTTCACAGGGATCAGTGGGTCACAAGCCTATTCAAATGTACAACTATCCACTTTCTCTGAAAATTTACACTTGCTATCAGGAGGCAGAGATGATTATATATGTTCTGTTCACAGTAATGTAGTCTGAGACAGCTTCACGGGTAAACATCACATGTCGTTCTATATTTGAAATATTTTTTGAAAAGGACGTTAAGCTTTCTGTGGCCATTTGTGTTACAGGCTTGAAATGCAACTGCTGTGATCAGTGATAAGGGAACACACTGATGATTTAGATTGAATAGGGAGGGTTATATTGTTTTCTAGGACACAGCTAAAAAGACTTATTTCATCAACCCCCTTGCAGCCAGAAAGACCCTGAGCCCTCAGAACTTCACTGACACAACCCATATTTTCTTTCCATAACTGGCCCACTTTCCCTTTGCACCAAAGCCAGCTACCTAGCTTCAGGGAGAGAATTGGACTGAGGATTATAAGGAAACATCCACGTTGTATGTGGGCTGAGAGAGGAAAGCGGGAGTATCAGAGGTTGCCGGGTTTGCTACTCTCATTCCTCTTCTTCCTCTGCCTAACACTTGGACTTGGAAAGAACTCTGAAAGGTGGGGAATAATCAGCTCATGTGATTCTCCCACTGGAGAGAGAGCCTCTGAGTGTTACAGCCAGGGGCCACAGGGTGGCGCCCTGTTCCTCAGGGAAGCACATGCCTCTTTGCACTGCCTTGCGGATAGTCCAGTGAAGTGCAGTAAGAGGTGGGAGTGGGGAGTGTAAATGGAGTAGTCTCTAACTATCCAAATAGGAAGGTGGGTTTTTTTTTTCTCTTTCCTGGCATGAAGATAATAAAATCATTTCAATAGTGAATTATGAAAATGAATGATAATGGTTTTATGTTACAGAAATATAATATCAGACTTTAGCCATGTAAATCATAAAACATAGAGATAACAATATGCATATTGTTCCTAGAGCGTTTTGTAAAATTATGTTTGTCATATTCTCTTTGAAGAGTTATCACTCAATATTTTATTTCTGTCTTGTAAGACCTGAAATCCTATGTGCTGCCTTGACATCTATGGGCTTCTCAGGGCCTCAGAGGCCTGGCCATGCAGTCCCCTGCTCTTGTCAGATATGTGCGCCCTGTTCACCCACTGAGCAGGAAGCCCCCTTGCCCTTCTAAGTTCCCCTATCGGCCAGTCAGTGGTACTCCACCTGGGTCTCAACCTGGCTCACTGCCCTCCAGCCTGGAAAATTATTCAAACAAGCCTGTCACATCTAGAGGAACCAGGAATCACCTCTTTCTCTTGCTAGTGCAAAGCCTGCCTTCCACAGCCCCTGCTGGTTCACTCTTTTCCCAAATGCAGCTCTCCTGTGACCCTGCATGGCATGCGGTGACCTCCCTCCTTGGGCTGTGAGCAGATGTGACTAATAAACTGCTGCCAATTTCATCTGTCCAGTGTCTCATGCTATGTGTCTGGTTGTCTCCTACTATTTAGTGGGGGAAGCCCCTCCTTCACCAACAAGGTGAATATGAGATGATCAAAACAACTACACTTCAGCGAAAGGTCCAGCCTCCCAAATAATAACTCCATGTCTTTTGTGAAATTGCACTAAGACATTTCCTTTACACTATGTAGTGTTTCTTGTAAGTATCCACAAAGTGAGTTCCATTTAGAATTGAATTCTAGGGAAAAAAGTTGATCTCACCTCTTCAGAGATGTTTACTGAATACCTTCTTTGCATTGGACATTTTACATAGATTATTTAATCCTCAGGGATAATAAATCCATGAGGAATCTGAGACTCAGAAGTAACTCGAACAAGTTCTTGTAGCTAGCAACGAAGTAGAATGTGGATCCAATGTCTGGTAATGCCAAAAACCGGAAAATTAAACAAGCCTGGTACCTCCAGAAGAGCCATGGGTAATCTCTTCCTCTTGTTATCATGAAACGTGCCTATATCAGCTCCTACCAGAAGGGCAGCTGTCAGCATAGTGCAGGAAGAGTAGGTACCAGAAACCTGTCTCCCTTTAACATGAAGTCTGATTTCTTTGGCTGTGTTATCCCATCTGAAAAGTGGGACTCGAAAACTTCTGGCACCAAAAGCACATCATCCTGGACCCAGGGATGAGCATCCTGGGATACAGACCTAAAGTCAGGTGCATCTGGGTGCTATGAACTCTGGAAGCACTGCTGTCCCCTCCAGGAGTCCTGAATGGAGGTCTTGAGATCCTTCACTCCTCCTATGCATCAATAAATGGGAACTCTAAGGCTCTTGCATCCCTCTTCTCAAAGAGGGCTGCAGGGCCACAATTGCAAAAGAGAGGTCCAAAGCAGGGGATGGTTTAGAGACTGAGAAGATGCAGGCTGTACCCGCATGAGGCACCCCTCAAGAAGCTGATGCACTTTGGCATGTGAAAGATGGCCTTTCCTTTCCTGACCTGAAGCTTCTGTGTTGAAGGAGATGGAGGGGGCAGAGGACTGGAGGGAGGTTTCCAGTTCTGTGGGCTTGCTGCACAAGCTGACGTTAATCTGATACTCACAGGTCATAGCATGGACCATGCACACCTGATTGGCATATCTAGTGGCTGTTGGGGAAAGCAGCATAAAATTCTTCTCCCACCTATACTAGTCTTGAACTCCTGTCCTCGTGATCCACCCGCCTTAGCCTCCCAAAGTGCTGGGATTACAGGCGTGAGCCATCACTTGCCATGCCGGAAGTAGTTTGCTTTCTCTAGCTACTTGTGACCAAGCATACAATGTTTTATCAGTGAATTCCTTACATATTGTCCTTGAAGGATTCTGGAGAGGATCCGGAACAGAGACAAATTCACTAGTTATCATCCCAAATTTAATGACAGGTTTGCCTGATAACTCCATTGCTGTGCCAGGTATCAATTTATTGTTTATCAGCTCTAAATCTACCTTTGCGGACTTTATGGTAGTAAACCTGGATCCTACAACATGAACTTGACTAACTGGCCCAGTGTTCGGCTTTGCCAGTAGAGGGAGCTGGAGAGACACTGTAAGAAGATAGCAGTAGAAACGCACTTTCTGGATTCTGATCTTAGGATTATTCAGTGTAGGCACCCAGCAGCCCACTTGGTCATCTGTAGCCACATTCTCAGGGCATGCTTTCTCCACACAGTGGTCATTTCTGCCTTTGGTCAAGATGCAGCTTCTGGCAACTATATTTCCTACCAGGCATTTGCTTCCACGGACCAGCCACAGCCTGCCCACACCCTCCAGCAAGGGCATATGGCTTCTTGTAAGCCAGCTTTGGCCATCTGGCAAGTTTCATAGCCACTGCAGACTGCATGTTCCTGTGGCAGCCACACCTTCAAAGAACTCTGAATATCAGCCTTGGGACATTCAGTCACGTTAGTCTTGGGTATAATAAAATACCATAGTCTGGGTGTGGTGGCTCATGCCTGTAATCCCAGCACTTTGGGAGGCCAAGGTGGGCAGATCACCTGAGGTCAGGAGTTAAGAAACCATCCTGGCCAACATGGTGAAACGCCATCTCTACTAAAAATACAAAAACGAAAACAAAAACAAAAAAATTAACTGGGCATGGTGGCACCTGCCTATAGTCCCAGCTACTCAGCTGAGCCAGGAGAATCGCTTGAACCCAGGAGACAGAGGTTGCAGTGAACCAAGATCATGCCACTGCACTCCAGCTTGGGCAACAGAGTGAGACACTGTCTCAGAAAATAAAAATAAAAATAAAATACCATAGACTGGGCAGTTTAAGCA